TATTGTTAATATTTGTTCTGTCCAGGATCCAGGGGTTTTACATGGCATGCACGCTTCGAAGCGGCACTGGTATCTCCCCTGTCATGCATGGTCCTGAGCCGTATCCTTCGCGGGTCTATCAGATTTGGCTTGGCTTGGTGTGAAATCAAGGACAAGCTACAGCCTGGAGGTTGGTTTGGAAGATAAAGCTCCTCCACCATAAAAGCAGAAGTGGCAGCATGCCTTTCACAAAGCCCCTGTCATGTCGGAGTGTTTGATTTGCACCTGGACTGCGCCGACATCATGGCTTCAGCTGCTGCTTACATGAAACAAGAGTGTCATAGATGAGGGGCTAGACAGGGATGAGCGTAGAGTGGCTAGTGTTTTTGTGCTGCGACTGCTAGGGATACAGCGTCAGGTGATCAGTTACCAACAAAAACAGCAAATGGAGTACACAGACGGCAGATGAGGTGACGAACACGACGAACACGACCTTTTGAAGCTGGAACCATCCAGATAAAAGGGGATCGGTTCATGCAACCCAGGTCTGAGACTCCAATGACCCAGGTCTGAGACAGTTAAAGAAAAAAGTTGATGATCTCATATGATCAAATCACGCAAGATCTCTCCATAAAAGGGTGTCATGTTACTTATAGATTTGATTTAGGTTTGTACAGTACAGCCATGTACAGCCGTATGTTTTGAGGCCCCCAAAAGATCCAAACAACTTGAAGATCCCCGCAGACACGGACCACGCTCAAGACCCGGACCGATCCAACGCTTTCACAGACTGTATGATGCGTCGAGAGGATGCACGCGAGCCCTTTCTCGAGGTAGGTGTTGACCATCAGACTTTTTGGAGGTCTTCATCAAAAGTGAGATCAAATCTGAGGTCTCCTCATTCCGTCGCCCCTTTTGAGGGAGACCATGCAATTTAAGTTGCCAATCGTGAGGCAGTTGTCCATGTTTTTGGAACATGCTCCAACTGTGTGTAGATGCCTCAACCCCACGCAGAAGCCCTGAAGGCTTTCATCCCACCCTTCGTGTTGACCAAGACCTAAAGCGGACATTTTCACACGCAGCCACCTGTCTGGTTTGCGACTGACGATCCCCGGATCACCAGACAACAACCAGGGAAAGGAGATGGCGCCATTTGGATTGTTTGCTGATCTTTTTTTTGTTCACCAGGAGTTCCCTTCCAACATGTTCAGTTCTGATCGAGATATTTGCAGGTACAGACTCCGGGCGTTGCGATCAGACCGGGCCACGCGAATCCGTGGGTCTTGAGAATCATCGGCCTGCGCATCAGCCAGGAGAGGCGTTCGGTTGAGCGGAGGCCGGAGATTCAGAAGGCTCCACGAGGAAAGCACGACGCTCAAAGTGGCTGACGTGGTTGAAGGATGTTGAAGGAGTCAAAAGAAGTTTTCAATATCGAAGATGTGGCTGTGATCAAAAGGAAAGGACACGCAAGACAGTCAAGACCGAATCAAGACGGTTCCAAGTTCAGCTTGTGAGATCCAGTTGCCTCATCAAAGGACTGGTGTTGTTTGGGCACGTTTGTTGAAGGGGGAGATGTAAGGAACAAAGGCCAGACCCAGTCGACGTGGGAATGTAAACTCATCAACTCGACTGTTCATGGGTAACTCTCGTGTCATAGAGCTCAAGTTGCTTGGGATGTTGCTTGGCTCTTGGACCATTTGAGATTGATGTCTCGGGCCGGGCAGATGGAACTCCATCCTGAGGTTGATCCGATGGGACTCCCTGCGCTCATTCGGTGGGAGCGAAACCTGCTCGCTCCGCAGGTTCTGCACCACCGGGCCATGCTGCTACACCGGTGCCGTGTGCTGTGTCGGGAGCTCCGGTGTCGGATGACCGTGTCGCATCTTTGGCACCGGCAAGGGGTCATAGGGATGGAATGTGCGGTATCGTTATTTGAGGCTCACCAAGCACGCGGGCATACCGCGATTGGAGATGAACATGTGCATTGTTCCACTTACTCTTTCGTATCCAACTTAGCTCAGATCACTGTATTTTTGCATAATTCCGGCAAACACACAAACTAAAGTATTATCCTTTTGCAGGAACCGGTGTTTCTCTTGTATTTTGTACGTTCTTTTTCCGGGAATTTGTTTTGCATTTTTTCTGTTTTTGCTTTTTGCTTCTGCTTTTGCTTTTTGCTTCTGCTTTTGCTTGTTGCTTTTGCTTCTACTTGTGCTTTTTGCTTCTGCTTTTGCTTTTTGCTTCTGCTTTTGCTTTTGCTTCTGCTTTTGCTTTTTGATTCTGCTTTTTCTTTTGCTTCTGCAATTGCTTTTGCTTTTTGCCTTTTGCTCTTGCTTTTGCTTCTGCGTTTGCTTTTTGCGTTTGCTTTTGCGTTCTGCTTTTGCATTATGCTTTTGCTTCTGTTCTTGCCTTTGCTCCTGCTTCTGCTTCGATGTTTCCTGCTGCTTTTCGCGAAAGCTAGCATGCTAGCTGAGTTCTGCTTTGCTTTAGCAATTGGTAGTGGGATGAGCTGTGTGCCTTAAAGCTTGATATATCACACTAACCACCCCCCTCCCCCCCCCCCACGGTTCGACTCCCAGCTGCGCCGTGTAGCGGGGGTTGGTTTGAACGTGTGAACGTGGCTGGTTGGGTGTAAACGGTGGCTTGGTGTAAACGGTGCTGCTGCTGCCGCTCTGCTGCTTGCTGCTGCTGTTTGCTGCTGCCGCTGGTTGCCGCTTTTGTAGCTGCTGCTTTGCTACTTGTTGCGGCTTGGTGCTGCTGCTGCTGTTGCTGACGACGCCGCTGCTGCTGCTGCTTGCTGCTTGCTGCTTGCTGCTGCTGCTGCTGCTTGCTGCTTGCTGCCGGTGGTGCTGCTGCTGCTGCTGCGGCTTGGTGCTGCGCTGCTGCTGGGTGGTGCTGCTGGCTGGCTGCTGGTTGGCGGTTGCTGCTGGCTGCTGGCTGCAGGCGGCTGCTTCTGCTGCTGCTGCTGGCTGCTGCTAGCTGCATAGGACTTGTACTTCACCGTTACAAGTTGTTTACCCCTATTTCATCTTATTTCTAACCTAATGCATGCATAAGCGGGTGGTAAATTTACTCCCCAGGCTTGCTATAACCATACACAGGCTATTTCCTCAAGACACTCTATTCCTGATACCTTTTACGTCCTTTTTACCAGTGCTTATCCTACACTACGGACGCCCTAGTGTATGCACAGTCCTTGTGATGCCAGAAATGCTTACTCCTCTTTCCGGCACAAGGCATACATATATAAGCGGCCCAGATTTGCAATAACCATAAGCCGGCTATTTCCTCAAGACACTCTATTCCATATACCTTTTACCCGTGCTTCTCCTACACTACGGACGCCCTAGTGTATGTACAGTCCGTATGATGTCAGACATGCTTACCCCTCAAGGCATACAAAAGCGGAGGGTAAATTTACCCCCCAGATTTGCCGATCACGCATCTTCGTGCCTGCCAACGAGTGCACCCGGGTTGTTCCAATGTACCCTTCCCAGTCAGCGATGTCACATTTACATTCTGTAGCGCAAAGTATGTACATAGCAACCTTCCTCCCAGAACATGTACTCACTACATGCTTTGCCGACTATGTAACTAGTACATCCGGTGCGATTCGGCTAGCTTTCGACCTCCTCCCCCTGGCCTCAAGTGCACTTGCTCTTGCTCCTGCTTTTGCAATTGCAAATAGGCAGCTTGAAGCACTGCAAGTGCTGCTGCGAGTGGCCAGCTGTGTTTACTGCGCTGCTTGCAGTAAAGAGCCTGTGCCGGTGCATTCCTTTGGTGACCTTTTGTGAGCTACTCGAGGGTAACATTTAGAGGAAGTTGCCATTCCAACGGTGCATACCTTTTGTGCACCCGAGGGTAAAATCTAGAGGAGGAAGGTGCTATTCCAACGGTGCATACGTTTTGTGATTCACCCGAGGTTAAAAATTTAGAGGGGGAAGGTGTCATTCCAACGGCGCGGAGCCCGAGGGTAAAATGTAGAGAAGGAAGGTGCCATTCCAACGGTGTGTGAGGCGCCCGAGTATATATTTAGAGGAGTGCCGTTCCTACGGCGCAAACCTTTTGTAAGCCACTTGAGGGTATCATTTAGAAGAGGAAAGTGCCAGTCAAATGGCGGACACGTGAAGGGAAAACTCAGACGAGGAGGAAGGTGACCCGAGGGTTTCATTTAGAGGAGGAAGGTGCAATTCCAACGGCGCATGTCTTTTGTTAACAACTCCAGGGTAAATTTAGAGGAGGAAAGCCGAAGAAGTCTTAAAAGACCCGAAACCGGCAGACAACCGCAAAAAGAGTCTCTATTATAGTTCTTCTCTCCACTTTCCTCACTCCTACTTCTCCTTCGTTAAGTGGGATGCCTTTTCTGCTCCCTCCCTTTGTCACTGCCTCGCTCTCTCCCTCCCGCTGGCTCTGCGGCTTCGTCCCCTGACCTTTCTGCTGCACCGGATGCTTGTAAAGCACTCCCAGAAAGATCGCGAAACAAAATCCTAGAAAAATACAGCAACAATACAGGAAAACAGCAACCCCCTTTTGCACCCTTTGAAGGAAAAGCAATCTCAAATTGGGTGGTATGATAGTATGAACATGTATGATCACTCTTCAAATGTCCACCGTGCCATCTAGTCCGTCATGTGAGCCGTCAATCAACCTGACAGAAAGGTGAAGATGATCAGACCTTTCGAAGCTTTGGGATTTCTGGCAGGTCCTTTTCCTGCTGCCAACCTGCTATGGGGGCCTGCTGGCATGGAGAATCCAGCATTCTGAGGCGGGAAGCTGGGAGTTCAGACAAGAATCCATTTGTTGAAAGCACCCTGAGGCCAGGAAGGAAAAGGCGTGAAGGTGCCACTCTGGCACCTGCACACTTTAGGCCTCTTGGACATCCCAAGTTAAGGGTACTGTATTGTCACTGAATGTGTTGCATTGTGCTATGTTCTGCTCTGCCGCTGGACGGCTGGTACGACTACTTACCTCTCTTCTGCCCCTCAGTGACATCGTTCTCACTTCCACCAGCCCTGTCCGCCATGGGCTCCAAAGTCTCCACGTCGGCTTCGGCGTATCCAGCGTCGCGGCACTTGGCGCTGCTGGGCGATTCCACCATCGACAACGCCGGCTGGGTGCCCCGCGGCGAGCCCTGCGTGACGGACCAGGCCGAAGAAGATGACCCAGATGGGCCAGATGGGGCCGCAGGAGTCGGCAGGTTGGTTGCTTGAAAAAGGTTACATGTCCCCTATATATAACTATGTTGCAGATATAGTTATATATACAAATATATAAATATATATATATATATTTATGTGCTACCCCCACAGGCCCCAAGACCCACCTTATATATATATATACACATATATATATATGTTTATGTTTTTTAAATGCAAGAGGAACCTCTGTGATCCACTTTCTAGAAAGTATTGGAAAGTAGATTTGCATGGTTTTAAGCCTGAAGCACTTGGAAACATTTCAAAAACTTGAGCAGTTGAAACATTTCAGACATGTTCAAAACATGTCAAAACATTGAAACATTTCAAGCATTTGGAGCATGTCAGTCTTTTCAAGCAACATTTCAGACAATTGAAGCAATTAAATAGTTCACACATTTCAGACATGCCAATCATAAGTTGATTCATTGGAAACATTTAAATTTCTTGAAACATTTCAACCATTTCAATCATTTTCAACATTCCGGTGATTTCAAAAAAATAGAACATGCAAACAAATCAGGCATGTGAACATTTCCTAACTTTAGGCATTGAACATTCAGACAGTTTAACCAGTTGAAGCACTTACAGCAATTCAACTGAAACGTTGGGAACATTTTGGCAAATTGAACGGTCTTTGATGTTTGAACCTTGTTGCACAAAGCCTGGCTAATTTTTCCTCAAAAGAGTCACCCGCCGGTAGTACCTTGTTTTGAAGTACGCAGACACTGTTTATTACATTTCGATCTATTTTTGGGCAATTGCTATTCTATCACTTTTCGAACTTGTTAATGAGTTCAATTTACATCGATTTACATTTGACTATTTGTTTTGTTTTGTTTAATGGGTTATTGTTTCCATTTGTTGTTTTAACCTGCTTTTGTTTCTTTGAATGTTTTCTTGAATATGTTTGGTTATAGTTCTATATGTAAAGATGTTTTTTTCTTAGTTTTACTTTTAGTATCCTGTTTGTATTTTGGACTATGTTTGTTTCGTTTTTGAAATATATTTATTCGTTTCGGTCCTATTATCAGTTAGTGTTGTCTATACCTGTCGTTTTTGCGTGTTTAAGCGTAAATGGACCAGTTGCTGCATTCCCCAAACAGTGTGGCAACACTAGTGTCACTAGGGGTTCTTGCGGTAATTGGTTTACTTGGTGGTTAAGGCCGGGTGTCTAATTTTAATTCGGAGGTGCTCACATCCGTGTCGCGCGGCGAAGCCGCTACTATTATACAGTGCATTCATTCACCTCAAGACCTTCGAAGTGCGCTGGTGAGCCCGGCGGCCCGCGCGGAAGCTCCTCGAGACTGCAAGGGAAACCTCGTGTTTCGGTGGTCCAAAGTCGACTTTTCCTGACAGGCGCAGAGATCTGAGCGGTTTTACGTCGAGCGGATTTCGTAGCAAGCGTTGTATACTGGGGGCATGGTGGTCTTCGGCGCGGTCTGATTTCGTGGCAGGTGCGATGTTTGAAATCGGGGGGCGTCTCAAGTCTGTTTTGGCATCTTGATGTTAATTGGACCTGAGCCGCAAGACTCGAAACAATTCAAGATGTCATCACGGGTCTTTGGAACAAGCAGCTTCGTAGCGTTAGGCTGCTGAGCGGCAAGAACATTTTTGGCGTATCACGCATGTTCAAGAAGGCCACAGATTCTTTTAGACGAATGACTCTTACGTCCATCACTGTAGTGGGGCCTGGTGCCGGGAAGTTTCTCAACGTCATCAATTTCAGGGTGTCCGGTTGCCAGCTTGTTCTACCTCAGCAGAAAGCGCAAGCTTCTTCTCCGACGAGTCTTGCGCAACCTACCGGCGGGTCGGCGCCAGCTTGATTTGTTGTTTACCCTAAGTCTGCTGTTTACCTAATGTTACTAAATTAGTAAAACAACAAGAGCTGATGAAATTAAATTGTTTATACCTAAATTTTTGTGTAAATGTAAAATCTGAGGGAACCTACGAAGTTCATCCAAAGTTCTTCAAAAGTTATTCAAAACTTACTTGTGGCCAAGCCATGCTTACTTAAGTATGGGGCTGCTCCTGCTCTTTTTTGGATGAGCCTACAGTGCTCACTACAAAAATCAACATGAAATAGTTTTAAAAGTACTAAATGACAATTTTGTTCTAAGTGACAAACTTATTGACATTTTAACTAAATCAACTTACTTCAATTTTTATGTATTTTTTGTAAGGTAAGTTTGTCTTACAAAAAACTTCAACTTTTATAGAGGGTAAATTTATGTAATCAGCAGACTTGGGGTAAGGTCAAGACGTGCTGCGTGCCAGAAGCAACTTGACAATATGGCTACGACAGTTTTCAGTTCATCAGATGTGAAAGCATCAAGGCATTGCAAACTGTGCCTGTGGGACCAACAGTTGGCGCCCACCATTAAGGTGTGACCACCGACGCGCAGCCCTGCGCTAAAAAGGGTTGCTCTCAGCCGTTGTAGATATTTAGCAAAAACCTTTGCGACGACGTTCTAATTGTCAGAGCATTTGGGGCTTTGCAGTTTTGCACGCGAAAAGCCCAGTAGAAGCGCTGCCTGGCGCCCAGGCTAAGATTGAATCATTGACAACCCTGCGCTGGTCCTCAGTAGTCGCGGTCAGCCAGTACTGAAGTCACGTCTTGAAGACGGGCGGCGCAACCCGAACGCAATGGCAACTAATTACAAACACGATGCTTGGTAGTGAGGACCTTGGTATGAGATGAGTGCTGCTTTCAAGACTATATCGGCTTTGCTCCTAGCTCTTCACAAACATTGGAAGAGACTGACTGCATCAAACTTTGCGCAAGCACACCCACGCATCGACGCATCCTGTCAAAGCGTGACGACTCACAAGTGAGTGGGTCCTCCGACCGGGACAGCTGCTTGTTGATGCTGCGTTGTCCAGCCCCGCTCACGGGCCGATGTGCAGCGTCTCCCAAATCATATCCCCAATGCAGATGTTAAGCGTGCAATCTGAGCACACAGCGCCTATCGTGTGCCGCTATATGATATGTCCAGCAGACATTCTGAAATCCGTTTATCTTCAAACCATACCGCGCTCATAAGAACAACTCCTGAAACAGAAGCGTTGAACGAAAGAACAAACATTCTTGCGGCCAGGAGGTTGGGTTGATGCACTTGCTTGCATTGTGTTGATGGTTTGGTGGTAACTAGCGCAGCAAAGTGACATTGGGAGCAGTCACCAGAATTCAGTCGTGGATCATAGAAAAGCCTGTTGGCTTGGCAGATATCTATATACCCGTATATATATATATATGTACGAGGGACCTCCATGTATAATGTAACGTGCTATTTATTCTAATATATTATCATAATATATATAAAAGGACACTTCAAGTTATATAAAACAAATCATATCAAACAATGAAAACCAATTATTTTGTTTGTTTATATTCTACTTTTGAGACCTACTACAAAATAACAATGAAACAACTACATATGTTTATTGTTTTGCGGTCTTACAAAAAATAGAAACAAATAAATCCTTCAGGTTTCAAGGTTTCCAGGTATTTAGAAATTCAAAAAAACTAAAAAAATACTAAAAAACAAAAACCAACTAAATATTTAGTTTTTTAAATTGTGCGGCCATCAAGAAATAACATTAAAAAACAATATATTTAGTTTTTAGTTTTGCGGCCTTTTAAGAACAACCAAAAAACTAAAAAAACTAAATATTTAGTTTTTTCGTTTTGCTGCATTTAAAGAAAAGGAACCACTAAAACCACTAAATATTTAGTTTTTTAGTTTTGCGGCCTATTAACACTAAAACCACTAAATATTTAGTTTTTTTAGTTTTGCGGCCTATTAAGAAAGAAAAGAAAAACTAAAAAAACTAGTTTTGCGACCTTCAA